CCTTCATTTCTTTGTAAGTGGGCAAACTTACAAAATCAGTAGGGGATCAAATAATTATTTTCCCCACTGTATATTTAGGCAATTAATGGAGTTCCCTGACAAGGATGTGCAAAAAAGCAATACTGTTTAAACAGTACTATACTGGGAATAACTGCTGTTGCACAAGTTGTTACCTTGTCTGTCCATGAACAAATTTAGATAAGATAAACTCATGACTATTTCTCACACATTTCCCCTCTGTTTTGTTTCAGATCAGCTGTCGGTGGTTATGGAGGCCATGCAGCCAAGACCAGCTGGGATGCTTGTTGCCATATATCTTTTTGTTGCAATATTGTCATGATCTCTGCTTTGATTTGTTGTTATGAATTCAGTTCTCTATTATTTTTTTTGTAATGTTACAGAATAAAGCACAATAAACAAGTAAGTAATGGATGTATTTAATAGTGACAGTGAATAAAAATATACTGTTGTACATGGACTCAGGTCACTTATTTGGAATTTATTAAATTCAATGGGATTCTTGTAAAATATTCAAAGGTTTTATAAAATGGTGTAAAATAAATTACAGTAAAATTACTGTAATATTATTCTGTAAAACTAAGTTACAGTAAGGATATGATGATATAGTACTGTAAAATTAAGTTGCAGTAAGGGTATTTTACTGTAAAATTAAATTGCGGTAAGGCCATCATACTGTAAAATGAAATTGCCTTAAGAGCATTATACTGTAAAATAAACTTGCGATAAGGACATTATATGTATATTATTTATTTGCTTCTTTTCCATTTTGCATTTACTTGTACTTTTACTTTCAATACTTAAGTACGTTTAAGATTTAAAAAATACTTTTTAAGTACTTAAGTACAATAAATATCACATACTTTTAAGACTTTTACTCAAGTAATATTCTAAACGGTGACTTCAACTTCTACCAAAGTCATTTTCTGGTAGGATATCTGTACTTTTAATTGAGTATGGCTTTCAGGTACTTTATACACCACTGGTCGTTAGTTCCATTGAACTCTATTGGCAATGATGGAACTTGCCACCATAGTTGCTGGGAAACGCACCCCAGGTCGTTGTTGGTTGCTGTAGTTGCCGGTGGTTTCATTCTTTTTCAGGACATTCCAAACTATCGATTTCTCCATGCCCATTGTTTTTGACATAGCTCTATTTGAGTTCCTCTTTTCTTTTAGCATCCAAATTGCTTGCTTTTCTCTCAAAGTCAGCTCCCTTGTCTTCATCCTGGTTTGTGTGTGTGTCACCATCAAATGCAAGACTCAGAATAGAGAAGCAATGGCTATAACTGATACAACACATTCCCTGCTTTTAAAGGGGTCATATGACGTTGCTAAAAAATAACATTATTTGGTGTATTTGGTGTAATGAAATGTGTTTATGCGGTTTAAGGTTAAAAAAACACATTATTTTCCACATACTGTACATTATTGTTGCTCCTCTATGCCCCGCCTTTCTGAAACGCGTCGATTTTTTCAAAGCTCATCGTTCTGAAAAGCGAGGTGTGCTCTGATTGGCCAGCGGTCCAGTGCGTTGTGACTGGCTGAATACCTCAAGCGTTTGATGGAAATGTTACGCCCCTTACCATATTGTGATGCCGTGTCCTGGTGCGATGAGACAAAACCAATAAAACCCATTACAAACGTGGCATTTGTAGCATCCAGTGGGGACATAATTACTGATTATAATGACTTATAATGTCTTTTTACACGTTGTGTTGCATCGCGCCGCGGGAACATAAAACCATGTCTGCATTTGTGATCGGAGAAATGACAAAACAACAAGTGCTACTCTACACTGCTCAAAACTCGCTGCACACATCTGAATATTTGGGTTGAACTGTTCTGGAACAGTGTTGTAAATACAACTTAGTTATGTCCTCTTTTGGAAGACCAAACTTAGTAGTTTCACTTTCACAACAAAACACGGCGTCTCCATGACATGGCGGCGGCAGCAACAATACTACAGCGAGAATCAAAGTTATGCCTTCTTTCTTTGCTCTTTGGGCGGTGTTATGCAAATCTTGAAATCGCATCATATGACCCCTTTAATATCTGAACAATTAATGCATCAGGACATGGCTGATCATTTAGAAAGACATGCGAGTCAACTGTCCCAATACGTATGCTCACATCAGATGTGAATCAGATGCGAGACTCTAAAAGTGCCGATCTTCTTAGTTGGCATTATCTATGTGTTGAATCACCCAGTAATAAAAATGTGACATTCTGTAGTTTTGTCTCATATTCATCTTTTAATCATATTTGCAGATGTCTTGACTCCACGGTGGACAAAGCAATTTTGTCATTACTCAATCCTATATAATTTTAGATATGAAATTAGAGTTTTATCTCTGGCAGGACAATTTTAAATGATCCCTTCCTTTTTTTTCTTTTCTATACTGGAAATAATAGAAAATAAACTAGATTCGCCTGACCTAATATTTGTTTTGGCCCTCACTGTCAAATAATTTAGAAAGGCATATCAACAATGACAAGCAGAGAGTGTTTCAGTATTTCTAATCAATGCTCAGTTGGAGAGAAAACCTCTGATGGAAAGTCTGCCAAGCCATCACACTTTCAAGCATCCTCAAATGACTTTGATTGAGATGATCTGGTGGCCAGCAGCAAGATGCAGATAGACCAATAAATTACTTCAGATAACAGTGATGTCAACGCAGTCTACCAAAAACAAAAACAAACTCCTCCCCCTGCTATCAAAAGCTATTAGCTAGCAGTTAATGTGAATTTGATGATAAATATACAGCCTTGGTTCTAACATCCTTCTTTTTGGCAGGAAGATGTAAAATGACTGAATAAAAGCACAATGCTCTGGAAAGTACTTTTGAACGACATGTTCATGGATGGCTTGAACTGGATGTCATTTCTGTATCTTAGAAGAAAGAGCCAAAATGGTTTAGGGTAGACTGACAAAAAAAAAAGATGAAATGGATGGAGTTTTTTTTCCTTCATATATTTTAACATATTATTGCATAAAAAAAATAAAAAATAAAAAAAACACAGACATAAACAGTATTCAATACACAAGAATGCAACACTTTTGCATAATGCATGCTTTTAAATATTGGCTGCTCATGCCAAATATGATGCTTTGTAATAAGTGCACTGGATTCAGCTGTTATCAGTGAAGTGCATTTTCATTTAGACTTTGGCTCATATGCAATTTAGTTTCTAAAATAATGGCCTTTTCTCAGTGAGTGCCCAAAAAATGAACCCTCATTTTTTATTTGGGGTCTGAGAGGCTCTAAGACCATTTTAATAGCCTGATAGTGTTCCCAAGTTGATAAGCTCCAACAAAGACCCTGTGACGAGTGGGGCGGGGCCAAGAGCCGTGGGAACGGAGCGAGGCCGGTGGAGTAAATGATAATGCGACACCTGCGCAACTCACTGGTTTCGAGTCCCACGGAGGAGCTCCCAAAGGATAAAAGGTGGAGTGACGACAGTGAAGGACGAGAGAGGACCAGGCCTGGGGGCTATTCCAAAAAGCAGGTTATGTGACATACAGAGAAGGGTGTTCCTGCACAACCGGAGGCCACAGTTCTAGGACCGCAGTTCTAGGACCCTATTCTTTTGTAACAGCGCCACCTACCGAATTGGATCACTAAAGATGGACTGCAGTTTCAAGGTTTGTCCAAGGAGTTGCTATATTTGTCCCTAAACTTTTGAAAAAAGTCTCAAAAGGGGCGGGGAAGTCGCTAAATCTAGCTACAAAGTAGCTAAATTGGCAACACTGCCTAAGCACTCTTCCGCCAATCCCGAGAAGGGTGTTCCTGCACAACCGGAGGCTGCAGTTTCAGGACCGCAGTTCTAGGACCGCAGTTGTAGGACCCTATTCTTTTGTAACAGCGCCACCTACCGAATTGGATAATATAGCGGAGGCTGCAGTTTCTGGCCCGCATTTCTAGGACCCTGGTGGTTTAGTTTGTAGTAATGTTTTTTTGTTATTTCAATTGTGATTTTTGATTTATAAATGCATCAGATGTTAATTACAATGTGTGTAATACCTGCTTTGAGTTAACAATTAAAAATTTAAATTAATTTACACTTAAAATATAAATGAAAAATGTATTTCAGTCGTTAAACAACCGAAACCTGGAGTAACTTAAGTCTTAAATTTCTTGAAATATACTGTATATTGATTAGCCCCCTTAAGTTGAACTAATTAGCTCATTATCAGGTATAATAAAGATGGAATCAAATTAAATCAGCATTTGCAGTCACTAAATTACGGACATATATTTAAAAGTTTGTAGAGAGGCAAGACATGAAGAATGATTCAGCAATGTATATGTATACTGTATATATACACTCATTTTTGCAATAACACATAATACAACATCATAAAAAAGACCCCCTTTTCCACCAGTTGCTGCATGGACAGAAAGGCTGTAGGCTTCAACTCCTGAGAGAGAGAGAGAGAGAGAGAGAGAGAGATGGAGAATTAAATAAGAAACATTTGCTTTAACATGTTTAACTCTGTAATATAGATTTCTGATTTAACACTTATGCAATGTTGGGATTGTAGAGAGAGAGAACCAAACAGAATAATCATGTTACTGACATATAACTCCATACTCTAAACCCCAAATTTAAGTATATAAAAGTAAAACCCACCAATTGAATGTTCTCCCTTCTTTCCTCAATTGTTTGTCAATCCGGTAACACTTTCTATGAAGCCTGTATTTATAATACATTATAAGGGTTTTCTTAAGGCATAATAATTAATGCATAAAGCATTATAAAAAAAGCTTAATAATATGTTGTATCATCTCATAAATAATCATAACATTTATAATACATTGTAATACTTACGCATTTGTGGTTATAACTTTTAAGAGTATGATTACGTATAAAACACAATCAATACCATTATAAATCCACTTAATTTATAATGGATTATCTTGACTGTTTATTTAAGATCTGGACAGTATCTTTCTACATCTTATGAGTGGTTAGCAAGGTTATTATAGTTTTGAATTTTTAAATTCGTTTTATTTTAATATCGTTTTCAAATTTGCTATCAGGCATAATTTAACCTTAGAGAGGCAAACATATAGCAACACAAAATTAACGCATGCTGAGATGGATTCGATAATAAAAGTATACAAATATACGCCAAAGAAAGCAGTCAAGCCTTTTTTACTAAATCAATCTACAGTTTAAAAGTTGAGCTTAATGTCATATCCAATGATGTGTGTTGAGATATTTAGTATGAAAATAAATGTAGCCTGATTTGGTTATGTCTTTTCT